TATAGAAATTTTCAACTCACCAAAGCACAGAAATCATTTGCATCCACTAACACTTAATGTTTATAAATATAAATTGAAATCACTAAAACAGTTTGTTTATAATATACATAAACAAACAAGACTGATGAATATATAATAATATGTTTTTTTTTTCAAACAATTTTATGAATGAACTTTGTTTAACCAAAGAAAACCTACGCTATATAGTTAAGGCTGGTTATTGAAACTCAATCCATGTATAGTAAAAATGTAACTTTAAAATTATACAGAAAGCAGCGCCGGCTGCTCGAAGTGGCCGTTTAAAAATTAAAAGAGCGATGGTCTTTCTGCATCAGAATTTATCTGAACGAATATATCTAAATATTAGGATTATTTTATTATTTATAAAAATGATTGTAAATAGAAGTAGTGAAAAGCAAAAATCAACTTAACTGTAAACAATTACAACATATTAAGATATATCCTTTTTTGTTATTGAATAAAACTGTATATTTTTAAATAAGCTGCGCGCGTATGAAGACAGCACTACATTTTTCGCGATTGCGCACAAGAAATACGACCGTTATGATCACGTGCTACTAGAATCTGCTTATACTGTAGAATGCGGTGTATCTCACCAAAGTGTGCATATCATTTACCAAAGGGTGTTCTTAATAAGAATAAATATTTTTATTATATTGTTATAAAAATATATAAAATTGATCAAAGATGTATTTAATAGAATGTTTAGATAATAATCTCTATTACAAAATAGAAAATAAAGATGTCATTGGTGACAATAACAATATTAGTGTTGATGGTGTAGTAGCTTACATGTGGAAAGGACGACAATTCGATGGAAAAGTAAAAATGATTTCAGGTAAGAAAATTATTTATAATGATATTTTGTTATTATATTAATATCTTCTAGAATTAATTCTTTCAAATATGCACTTCAAATAATGTGCAAGAAATTAATGAATACCGAAGACAATTAGAAAGTGAGAATAACACCAATGAACAGGAACCCGATATTCAGGAAGAACCTAACCTTGAAAATAATAAAGAAGCAGTAATCAAAAGAAAACGAAATAAACCAACAGTCTATTCTCCAGATGAATTTACTTGCTCGAAACCAAAGAATGCAAAATGTAAACCCAAAGAATCTGTAAGTAATAATGTTTATTTCATAAAATTGAGAACGTTATTATCATTTTTTTAGAGTTTATTTTATTAAGACGTTTGATGAAAGGTGTTTTTCGACCAGAAAAAATTACTCATTGTTCTTTAACCGGAAACCCTGGTCGAGGACAAAGACTTAATATCGATGAATGTGAACGACTTCATCCTAGAGCTGTAGAGGCTATAATTAGTAATATAACGTTTTTTTCGAAAAAATATTTGATCGTTTCTAGTGTATAGCCATATAATGCTTATACTAATTTTTTTTTCACAGAGAAGGCAAAATCACTGCATAAAAGAGCTGTTTCTGAAAAATCATTTCAATGAACAAAATGCAAATAGAAAAAGCAGAACAAAAAAATCAAGAAGAAACTCAACAGGAAAATCGAGAAGAAACTCAATAAGAAAATCGAGAAGAAACTCAACCACAAAGTCAACAATAAATTTAATAAAAAATTTAACAAAAATATTAACAATAAATTTAACAATAAATTTAACAAAAATATCAACAATAAATTTAACAATAAATTTAACAATAAAATTGTCAACAATACCGAGAAAAAATATTATTTCTGGTAGTTAAAAGTGTTCAAAATAAATAAAATGTTCAAATCAAATGAAATGTTCTTTGCTGCAAGGTTCTATTTAAATTATATCATATATGTGCAAATCTGATTGAATCTGATTTGATCTATTTCGTTATTTTCAATAAATCCATATTTGGATCTGCTTAGATTCGCCCATCTCTGGTTTAACCTAATTTGATTTGATTAATGTTCCTGGTAAAATTTACATTTAGATTTGTCCAGATTTGATCAGATCGGATTTAATCTGATTGATTACAATAAAAAAATTGTGATTCCAGATCTAATTAGGTATTATCCGATTTGCGCAGATCTGATTTAATCAAATTTGAAATCATTAATCATATTATATATATATATATATATATATATATATATATATATATATATATATATATATATATATATATAATCAGATCTGATCAGATCCAAATTTTTTTTAGAAAATTAGTCTCATATTTCAGATCTAATCAGATCTGAAATCGTTTTTCACGGGTAGATTTAAGTCGAAGAATTAGCTATAAATTTGCAGCCCTTGTGGGGGAAACCTGATCAACTTTGCCTCCAAGGAAGCACCTAGGTTAAGTCGTCCTTCCACAAAGAAATCTAGGAGAGATCACGTGATGAGAACTACTAATGGGGACACAATCTTACAAATCACGAAATACTTATGTTATTGGAGGGGGAAAATGATTAGACATCGAACAATTGAAAAGAAAAAGAGAGTTGGGACTTGGCTGTTGGAGTAGTAAGAACTTGGCATATGGAGAAGTAAGAATTTGGCTTCTGGAGCAAGAAAGCTAGGAGTTAGCCATTGAAGAGTAAAGATGGAAGAAGCGAGTGGAGGTTGAAGAACTTGAGCAAGTTAAGGAGGAAAATAGCAGACAGTAGCGACATGGCGGACCGCAGGGAGATCCCTGCTGCAGAGAGGAGGTTCGAGACGAGATTTCGACATTTAAGTATTCTCTGCAGCTCCTGTAAGTCGTATTGAGTCTAAATCTTGGTAGGATTTCAAGTAGTTTGGTAGTTTTCAGCTATGATAATGAAAGATGATAGATCTTCCACCCTTGGTTTGCTCTCGTGATTTAGTTTAGTAATAAAAATTTAGTTTAATCTATTATATTACATTTACGAGAAATATTGATGATTTTGCTTCGGGTTTTAGAGAAAATTATAAGATAGAACTCGATTGTATTTAGCTATAAGTCATTTATTGAGATTGGATAATGTAGGAAGTTTTGTAAAAATATTTAAATAATATAAGAAGTTGTAGAACGTTCCAGAACTTAGGTCGAAGGCATTTGATTGTGGAATAGTTTTTTTTGGTTAATGCAGCATGGCCATAGAAAGATTGATTTTGTTTAATGAAGTCATATTTACTCGATACTTGTTTTTCAATGGATTTATGTAACGGGGAACCTTCAACTCCATCGTGTTCCTGATCATTCAGGAAAATTGTATGGGGTACAACCGATAAATTTCCTTGCCGGCCCTGGCCCTCTCTTCACAACCCACATAACTGAGCTCCAGGAGATCCCCTGTCAGGACCTTTTTAATAGCAGCATCTTACATAAGTTTATTTTTCAGATTTTGTAACTAGTTTTAAGATTTTTGCAGATTTTGGTTTTAGATTTTTGCCAGTTTAGTTATTCTGGCGATTAAAAATAACTTGGCGCCCGTCGTTTATACTTTTTATAAGCGAACCAGGGATGTTAGCTAATAAAATAGTGTCCTGGAGGAAGGTGAATATTTAGTACGCTTACCCCCGTGAAAAAATATCGTCACAATATATATATTCATACAACTGTTCTTACGATGGCGCATGCGTGCTATTGCCGAGTGACGCGGTAAAGATTACAATTAAGTGATACACGGCCGATATAGTAGCGAAGAATATTGGTAATTTTTACAATGTCAATTAAAAAGGATTATTGCGTTCAGATGTCGCAATGTAAAAATTACAGTTTCTTAATGTAATGTAGCATATCTGAAAACCGTTACAGTTTATTGCGATACAGTTTGTGACTCGTGCCGTTTACACTTATAAATTTAAAAAACAAAGTTTATTGTGAATATTTTAATAAAATTCGGAATTATTTTTCGCCTCGATTATATCGAGAACAAAAGATGATATCGACGTGGGACTAAATGCATTCGACGCGTAATTACGTAACTTAGAACTGAAAAAGTTTCCAGGAAAATCGGTCGAGCCATTTTTAATGCAGAATCAAAAAACTGAAAAAATAGTGAACTACCTAAATTCTGCAATTTATAAATTATACCATTTTTTAGACGAAATTTCGAGATCTTTTGAAAAATATGAATATTAAATGTTTAAAATAATTGTACAGAAATGTAATGACAGTATTTCATAGAAAAAAAAATTCACAATTCCATTTTATTGACAATTATTATTGACTATTATAGCGTCTTTAATGCTGTTTTCTCAATCCTGACACGAGTTTAAAATTTTTTCATTGCTGATATTGTTTTTTAAATTTTTTTTTTTCGATGAAATATTGTCATCATATATCCATACAAGTATTCCGATCATTTAATATTCATATTTCTGCAATGATCTTGAAATTTTGTCTAAAAAATGGTATAATTTATAAATTGCAAAATTCAAGTAATTTCCTTTTTTCCCAGTTTTTTGATTCTGCCAAAAAAATGGCCTACCGATTTTCCTGGAAACTTTTTCAGTTCTAAGTTACGTAATTACGCGTCGAATGCAATTGGTCCCACATCGGTATCATTTTTTGTTCTCGAGATAATCGAGGCGAAAAATAATTCCGAACGTACGTACGCACACATGCACATACGCACATACGTACATACACGTACACAGACATCCACGTAAAAACTATCGTATTTAACTCTGGGGACCTTAAAACGTGGAGATATGTCAAAATTAGCGATTCGCAAAATCGGACTCATTACTATATCTTCCCACTGGGAAGTTAAAAATAATTTCTGTTTTTTTATTAGAGTGATTTCCATTATGCATTTAATATTTTTTGTATCACAATTAACCTAATTAAAAACTGCAAACCCACAAAAAATTCAAACATTATTGACTAATAACGATAATGACTAATAAAAATTTTATGTTCATGTGAATTTTTTTTCACAGATTATAAATAATAAAAATAACTATTTCAGCCCTAAAAATTATTTCGCTCGGAACCTGTCGATTTCTTATTTTTTTATTCAATACTTACATTTATAGAATCAAAAATTATCCTATTTCAAGGTGATAAGTAAACTGTTCAACGTCACTACACAGTGTTATCAGTTCTTGATACACCAAATATATCAAATGGTAATCCGGACCAATCTATCAATTTAGATCCTACTTTACCCAGTCCATCTCAAAGTGTTGTTACTACTTCATCTTTACCTAATCCATCTCAAAGAACCATAGTTCCTATTTCATCTTTGCAGAAGGTGTGTACTTTTACTTCTGTTATTTCCTGTATTTAATTTTTTGTACCCCTATGGAATTGAAAACAATATTTTGTAATATGCAATTTATTTTTAGAATAATCCTAACTATCAAGGAGATCTTCGATCACCATTGGTTGAAATTCCACTATGTGAGTGGTTGAACAAAAGCGTTCATGGTCAAGATATCCTTGTTCTCTATGATGTTTATCAAATGCTGGATGACTCATCCAAAAACAAATTAGTGGCACTAATTCTTCAACGTGAAACTGATAGACTTCTGGAACTACCAGAAATAAAACCTCATATTTATATGAAATTTGCTCAAGAAATTGTCACGACATTTCCAAAAGAAGCAGAAGGTGTTTATTATGTTCCTCGGATACGAAAAACAAAATTGCAAGATGGAATACCCCTCAACGAAAATTATTGCCTAACTATACATATGTGAGACGCGTCCACGCCACCAAACGAAAATTAATTACTCAGCAGATGAACGTCGATCAAACACGTAAATAAAATATTTACTCAGTTAAGCAGTGCTAAATATTAATGTTTTTTTATGTATTAATTGGTGATTATTTCAGGTGTGATACCTGATTTAGACGATGCTAATGAAAAGATAAAATGTTTCATGACTAATATTGAGCCATGGGAAGAAATAATTCAAAAATGGGATGAATTATTTGATGAATGATCTCAAATCTTAAAGCATACTTCTGATGCTGAAAGTTATTTTCAGAAATTCCCATGCTTAAGACAGCTATTAGGTATTCAATTAGTGAGTATTCATTCTTCTGTGATCAAATATTTGAAGGAAAATAGTTTAATTAACTAAGTATGCACTTTTTTTTTAGTTAAAAAAAGATTTTGATCGAATTTATCAAAATAAACATGGAATTTTTTCAAGAGTGTGGCCACAAATCCGGAGCTGCCTGATAATTCTTGTGAATGGTATAAGAAAACCGAAAGATAAAAATTTTTCTAATCTTATCTATCAATTGTCTACGTTCACAGAGTGTAAGTTAACAAAATAATTGATATTGTGTCTCTGTCAAAATTGTATCTATCAACGAACTTTATTTATTTCTTTTTAAAAAATTGGAAAAATTTAGAAAGATTTTTTTTCAAAATTCTTTGAATCTATAGCTGCATTGGATGCTGCTGTGTTGTATATAATATCTTTTAATTCGTATAATTCTCAGTCAAGTCGAACAAAACGGTCTAAAACATCAGAAGAAAATGAATGGAATCCTACAACTGCAGAGGTGCAAAGAGGCTTTGTTTTTCATATTGAAGTAAGGAGCTCATATTTTATACACTTTTAAACCATTCTCTAATATTAACTTTCCATATTATAATAACTTCTGGTTTTTACAGACAGTTAATAATTAAAGAGAAGCAATAGATAGTCTTATTAACTAGGCACAACAGCATAAAATTTCACTTCGACCACGGCCTGTCATCGTTGGACCTTTAACAGATATTAAAAGTTCATTTATGTTCGTAAATGACACTCTTTATAATGCGGAAAGCCCAGCTCATGCTGTTGATTCAGCCTTCAGTTTATATTATATTTTGCACTTGCAATTTCCATTAAAAGCTAAATCACCGTGGCTTTTATTCAAAAATTAGTATATGAAATAGATACAGTTCATGATAGGACAATACCATCATCAGTATCAGGTTTAATAAGTGATGTTCGAGCAGTGTTTAACCAATTACAAAGAAACTAAAATTTTATTTGCATAAAGTTAAAATTATTTTACAAACTTTATTACTATTAGGTTGAATTTCTTGAAACAATAGTCAAAGATATTGAATAATATTGTAATTATAGCCGTAATACGATGTTCATGTTTAGCTTATTTCAAATCTGTCCAAGATTTTGAAATACATTTGACGCATCACAAACCGCGAGACATTTTCTATAGGCTACTACGAATGTATTAATAACTGTCACAGAATATTCAATAATTCAAAATCCTTTAAAGCACATTTACAGTCACATAAGAATCTAAATATACTTTCTCAACCTAGCGAACGTATTAATGTTAGCGTTGAAAATAATTCAAATAAAAACTCTGTATGTTATGAGTCTGAAACTAATATAGTTGACGATTTGTCATGGAATGATCTGTACGAAGAAATTATTAATAGTGAAGAATCCTTCTGTGAGAAAATAACAAATAATACATTCGAATTCACATTGTTTACAGAAGTTCATAAATTATCGTCAAACTCATATGGTCAATATGATTTTCCACGCAAAACCATTGATAGTATTATTATTAAAGAGTTAGACAATTTTCTAAATAATAATGTATTATTATTTTTAAAAAACGAAGTTAATGACTGTTTGAATGATTTTAATGTCGATTCTGATAAAGCAAAAAATATAACAAAAATGTTTGATAGTTTTACTAATTGTTTTTCCGAAGTAAATACAGAATGGAAAAGATTAAAAAAATACAGAGAAAAAGGTGATTTTATACCACCGATTCCAGTTGTAGTTGGTGCAGATATTCGAATTAAAAGTAAAAAAAATAAGCATATTTCATCACATGAAAAAGCTGTTATACAATACATTCCAATAGCACCAGTGCTTAAAAGATTTCCCGAAATACCATCTGTATTACCAAGAATAAAATTATATGCTCAGTTTTTGGAGCATCAGCAACGCGATGGTATTATTTCAAATTTTGTACAGGGCAACTTGTGGCAAACCATAATGAAAAATTTTGAAAGTAAATTTTTCATGCCTTTATTTATTTATTTCGATGATTTTGAAGCAAACAATTGAACAATGAATACACACAGGTGGTAGTGGAAAAATCAGTGGAGTATATTTACATATAGCATTATTACCTCCAGAATTGAAAAGTAAATTAGATTTTATGTACCTTATACAGATATTCCAGACTATCGATAGAAAAATTTTTGGACATCGGGCTATTTTCCGCCAATTTATCCAAGACTTAAAAGATCTTTCAACCGTAGGTATAAAAATTCATACGGATGATGGTGTTGAAACAATTTACTTTTCTTTAGGATTAATACTTGGCGATAATTTGGGTATGCACGAGTTACTTGGATTCACAAGCTCTTTTAATTGTACATATCCGTGACGTTTTTGTGAAATGCCTAAAGTTTTAACATCACCTGCAACATCCGAAATAGAAACTTTGATAAGAACCAAAAAATCATATGCATCAGCAATTCAAATACTTGGTCAGGGAAAAGGGAAGCATACTCTCAGTATTGTTGAGGAGTGTGTGTGGAACAAAGTTCCATTTTTTCATGTAACAATGCATTTATCAGTCGACTTGATGCACGATTATCTGGAGGGTATTGGCATATACGAACTTTCTGATATTTTATATTACATAGTGCATACAGCTAAATTTGTTGATACTGAGACATTGAATAATCGAATAGAATCATTTGATTTTGGCCAAATCGTAAACGTAATATACCCCCCGATGTTCCACCTGACTCTGTAAAGAATTTGAACATAAAAATGTCTTCTGCTGAATGCGCTTGTTTAATGAGACACTTAGGGATGCTAATTGGTGATCGTATTCCTGAAAATGATCGAATGTGGTATTTATATATTTCTTTTAATGAAATATTAGATTTGCTGTATAAAAAAGTACATCATACTTCGACATATGACTTATTGCATAACATGATAATTCATCACATGCAAATGTATCAGTTAATAACAAAAAGAAGTTTTAAACCAAAAATGCATCATACACTGCATCATAAACGAGTTAGTCAGCTAGTAGGACCATTAATTCATATATGGACGATGCATTTTGAATGTAAAAAGAAGTGGTTTATGGAAATTGTGAGACTGACGAATTCTAGCAGGAATTTACCTTATTCTCTTGCTCTTAAACATCAATAAAAACTTCAAACAGTATTTTCCTCTAATTTTAATGATAGTTGTAATACTCAGTTTGGACCTATTAGACACATAGAAAAAACATTTTACAGCTATCATTATCAAGCCTACGAGGTAGTTGAAAATAATTATTTAACAAAATATTCTATGGTTAATTTCTCAGAGGTAGATAGTGTTGCGTCAATAACGCGATTACCAAATAATTAGGATTTTATTAGCAGAATATAATTTCGATTATTACTGATAACTATTGTTCATAAATTTACATAATTTATTCTAGTTTTGCAATACTATTTTTCATACTACATTATTAAAAATTACGATTTTTAATTTGAAATTATAAAATGTAATTTTATATAATATTAAATAAATAAAATTATTTAATAACAATTTAAATTTGTATATTTATTTACATAAAAATACGAAAATTATAATTATTAATTTAAATTTTAGACACGTAACTCCAAATAAATTCCATAAAATAAATATAAAATTTTTATCAAATATAAATAGATTTTATGCATAATATTTATGAATATTACATTTAAACTTGATAGTAATAAAAGATTGGACGGTAATATTTTTTACTGCTTCCTTCAAAAATTACATTGTGGCTATGTAATAATTAATAGCTAGGGCAGTTTTACAATCGCGAAACTATAATGATTTTATGGTCTATTCACTCTTTTACATTGAAAGGTTTATCAATTCGCGTTGTAATAATTACCGCATATTTTGAAGATGTAATTATTACATTTTTATGAACGAAGCGACACCGGGTTACGTCACGTTGTAAAATTTGATCGGGTATACTGATAGAAGTTACAATGCCCTTTTTTCCGTGAACATTTTAAAGATGAATGAAATGTTTATCAAGACTCTTACTGAAAATAATTATATAATCTAAATAAACTAAACAAATTTTGCCGAGGAGACCTTTTAAAACTATGTTCATGAGTTTAACGAAGGGGGCAGGAGCATTACACAAGCCAAAAGTAAGAACCTTAAATTGCCAAACCTCATTCCAAATACAAAAAGCAGTTTTAGATCTAAATATCTATAACTAATATATATAACTAGGAGACCTCGGGGATGAGGCACACCAGAGCGTTCATCAGGAAACCCACAACTCAAGTGAGTAGGGACCTGATCGAACTGGATAAAAGAAGGCTTAGAGTGGCCGTGGGCACCGTCACAGGACACTGGCTAACTCGACGCCATATGAAGATGCTGGGACGCGGAGAGGAATCCGCGTGCCGGTGGTGTGGTGAGGAAGAAGAGACGCCTCTCCACATGATAAGGGAATGCTCGGGGCTAAGGGAACCCAGGCAGCGCCTGTTAGGGAACCTTGGGACCGACGCACCCATTCTCGAGACGGTCGGGACGGACAGGCTTCTGCAGTTTTGCTACGAGGCCGCGCTGTACCAACCCACCTAAGACCGCCTTTACCATAAGTTTGGACCCAGTACAATGGCCCCGTGGCTAAGTGCAGGGGCGGCGGGGCAGACTAAAGGAGAAAAAATATATATATATATATATATATATATATATATATATAACTAATCAATTATAATATATATATAACTAATTCTATTTGTTGAAACAACTTTATTACCTTCTGAGAATGTTTTGTCAAGAAGATCTTTGAAATCAGTTAATAAACCAGACTTGATTAAAAAATCTAATCCTAGAATACATTCTTCTCCGATTTCGTAGATATATAAGAATAAGATTTACAGTATATTATATCTTATCTTTATTTCTATAGTCTCGATAAAGTCAAAATCAAATTTATCACCTGAAACTGTAAAATTAGAATAAGGAACAGAAGAATTATTCGAAACAGTTACCTTTCCTTTTAACAAAGGAGAATTAACAACCGTAATATCAGTAGCATTATCAACTGTCATGATACATTCTTTACTATTTATTTCTCCTCTAAGTAAAAGTTTCTGTTTAGAAGAACCATCAAAGAAAAATCAATTTTCTAGTTTTAACGGAATTTTTTTTTCGATGAACCTTCACCAGTTGACTCATTAGAATTATGAATATTTGATAAACTGGCTTGAACAGCTTAAAGAACCTGACAATTTTTCTTAGTATGTCCTTTTTCACCACAAATCCAACATTCGAAAATTTGCGAAGAATTTTGATTTTGAGAATTTGACCTAAAATCTCCGTTAAACGAATTATTTTTATTATCTTCTTTAAAATTATTTCTAAAATTATAATTTGTATTGAAACTACTATTATTATTATTACTCTACCAAAATTATTATTTTTTTTTTTTTTACAAAGATCTCTGGCCAGGGATCTCAGGGCTCCAATCCACCTGGGGCCCGACCAGACGGGATTATCGTGCAGGCACTCGACTCCCTCAGGCTTGAGGGTGAGCCGAGGCTGCAGTCGTTCAGTCATTATTTCAAACGTCTCTATATTTGTCTCAGCCGGGGCTGAGAACTCAATGTAATATACGTGCTTGGTGGTATGGTCGAAAAGAGTAATATCCGGCTTATTGTGTTCAATACGTTGGGGCGTGAAGAGTGGGTAATTCCAAAGAATTTTTGCTCTCCCGTTCTCAACGACTGACTCAATTTCACTGGGCAGATAGGGCAGCACTGGTGTCTCGTCTATTCCATAAGAGTGCCGAAGGTAGTAATACAGCACTCTTAGGGCGGCGTTATGCCGGTGAATGTAGGCTGAGCGCGCTAATATCGGGCAAGCTGATAATACATGAAATAGCGTCTCATCTACATCACCGTGGCAAACTCGGCATCTTGTGTCCTTGAGTTGCTCGTCCATAGTTATATACGAATCTTATACAGTTAAGCACGATTATATACAGCTATAATATGACTCACATATTTCCCCGACTTTGTCCGCAAATCTCCCATTCTAGAAACCTATACAATGTAATAGAATTACTAAAAAAATGATATTTACGTAAGTATTGATAATAAAAGAAATAATAAGAATTCTATTATAAGACTTAATTTCTACTCCTTTACAATGAAATCAATTGTTATAAACAAAAGAAGCATACTTCCATACATTCTTCGTTGTTTGGCACTTTATTTCAGTAGAAAGAATAATTTCCTCTTTTAAGACCTTTGATATACTAAATAGTTCTCGATTTTCATGATTTATATCAAATTTAATTGTTACAAACAATTCAAATGAGCAAAAGGTACACTATATGACCTTCTCCATAATGCCTTTTAAATGTCTGCAAAATGTGGTCATAACCGGATCAGTCATTTCGGAGATTACCTTGAACAGACGGACAGATAGACAGACGTCAGAAATTTATATAGTTATATTCAGTAATCGATTACTGAATTGGTTATTTTGATGTCAAGCTCATCTGATGACCTATCAGCGCACTATCAATGCGGACCAAAGTTCAGTAATCAGTCAAGATCAGCCGTCGATCAGTTTATGAAGAGCATTCATCCAACGCGTGACTGTTACTCATTTTTTCGTGCACTCATTTCGTACTCATCCAACACACTTATTCAGTCACGGCTACTTATTTTTTTTCATCTTTGTACTCACGAACTCAACTCAATAACTCATAGAATTCATTATTAAAACTCATTCATTATCACTCAGTATTCCAAAAAATTAGCATTCAATGAAACTAAACGGTTTTAAGTGTACAACGCGGCCTTACAACCCACATTGTCGTGTAGTTAACGCATTGGTGCTGATTCAACATGAATAATTTTACTGTACTCATGATATCACTTCTATGACTGTTCCCTATTAATAAAAAAATGATTAATTTGGTTAATCAATTATCGTACATCTTTGAACGAGTGTACCCAGCAATTTTGCATTCATTATTTACTCAACAATAGTAGTATTCACGTTGAGCAAAAAAAATCATAATTTTCTATATTTAAATTATCACTTAATTCTAAATAAAAATAATAACAAAATAAAACAATAATATTCCAGAAATCGAATATTTTATATTACAAAATAATGGCAAATTGAAAATTAAATTATCAAATTACTAATTCACAAGCAATGAAAAATGAAAGTTCAGAAACTATAAAATAATTGAATGGTTATAAATAAATTACTTATATAAAAAGTAGCAGGCTATTCAAACATAAATGACTATTTTTAAAAAGATGGTCTATCAGACTCTCTGTCGGGGCTAAATTAAAGAATGGCTCAATTGATTTCGATGAAACGTTGAATTATGAATAACAAAATGTAAAAAAAGTCAGTTAAAATAGAATATCAGGGAGAAAGATTGGATATTATTGACTTTGTTTAAATAGAATTACCAAGAATGTGCCTAAATTCCTATAATTGAGTATTTTGTATGGACGAGTATTTTTGAAAAAATCTAGAACTTTTCAGAATGATCTCGAAAATGTTTGATTTGTTGATCAAGTTTTTGAGCCGTCTGTAACTTTTGTAGACTCTCCCTAAATTTCGAGCAATTTTCAGAATTCGGAAAACTTACACTACCAATCAAAAGTTTTTAACCACCTGCTAAATCATTAATACAGTGTTTTTAATTTTCTAATAGTCATAGTTTTACTTATTGTGACTTTCAGACACTTAACACGGTGTCGTACATAAAAATGCATACCCTATCAATTCAAGAAGATTCAGAACACATCTTGTAAACGCATGTTGCCGTAAGTTGACGTTGTCGAAAAATTAGAAATAATTAATTTTAAGCTCAAAATAACGGCTGCTGGACTATAATTCTACATTCTGAGTGTGCAGCTTGTGACACAAGTGCTCATTTGATGAAGAACTTCAGTACAAGCTATGTGACTTATGTAATTCACGACACGGATAGTGATTTGGAAATGTAATTTTTAATGTATGGCCTGTACGATTTATGCTAACGCAACTTTTAACGCTGGTGGTAATCGAAAAGTTTGTTCTTTAAATATGACCCATATGATGCGAACATTTATTTCATTTTTTTTATTCAATTAAAAATACTGGATCACACGGTTTACCATATAAACAAATGTCTCTGATAAGTC